TTTAAATAGCTGTATAATATTCCCCTCTTCCTGGCTGGGCCTCAGTGCAGCTGGATTTGGTAGCACATACCTGTAATTCCAGCACTCAGGAGGCTGAGGCAGGAGGATTGCCACGAATTCGAGGCCACCCTGGGCTACCCAGTGAGTCCAAGGCCAACCTGAACTATATAGACCCTGTTTGGAGTAAAAAAAAAAGAAAAATTATATTTCCTCCTTCTCGTGTTCTATAAGCTTTTTTAGTAAATATGCTGTTTTTGAATCTTTGGGCCTTGAGAGATGCATCTGAATCTTTGACGATTTCCTCTGCTGGATTCTCAGAAGTACTTTTCAGGGGTGAAGGGTGTGTGTGCTTGCAGGGATGCCAGGCTAACCGGCAGGCATCTGTTCCTCTCTTTGCAGCAGCCCACGCACCCTGTGTACAACATTGGGCCGGACAAGGTGATCCAGGCCACCACGCACTTCCTGCAGAAGCCAGTCCCTGGCTTCGAAGAGCCTGAGGATGAGGGGACAGCAGGGACTCCAAGCCACTAGAGGACCCAGGCTGGGCTCTGTGCTCCCCACCTCCCCACTCAGACAAGGTTTTATGTTCAGTACATAGTGCGTCCTTTGCTCCGTAAGCCTTAGCTATTATGGAGCTGTGGTTTTCTTCATCCTCTCCTGTCAAAACAAAGCCAGTAGCTCTGGGTTTGGAGTAAATCATGGCGTGGTTTTTAAAGATTGTCTTCATCTCCATCAAAGCAAAAGCCTGTCCACCTGCCTATGCAGTGAGGTGGGGAGCAGTGCATGCTGGGAGGAGGCAGCCTCTCCCAGCAGCCCTCCAGCCTGGATGGCCACAAAGGAACAGACGGTGTCTGAGTGTCACAGCATGCAAGGCCACTGCTGTGATGCCCATCTGCACAGCCGTGTTAAACCTCCAGGTGGCACCCTCTCCAGGCATGGAAAACGGGCTGCTTCATGCTGCGGTGTGGGGCTTTGGTGCCCATAAAGTATGTACCCTGGAAAAGACAGTGTTGGGGATGCTTCAGAAGGTGCTTCTGCCTCCCACCTTCCACCCTAGTCATTTGCAAGGGACAGGAGCTGGGGACAGAGGGACAAATGTCTCAAGTTGAGAGTCACTCCCCTGCAGAGCTGGAGTCCTGAGCCAGGCATCTCTCCAAAGCTGCGCGTGGGCACAGGCAAGACTGGCTTCGGCCCGGGTGTGGTGACATAGGCCTGGGAAACCATTATGGACAGAAACGCAATTCTGGCTCCGTGCTGTACTAGAGGAAGAGGCTCCTGAGCGCTCTGCCCATCATGTCCCTGAAGCATCGCCCAGTGACCTTAGGGCAGCGGCTGCAGCCAGGGCTCTGCTGTGTGTTTCTTTCTTTCGCCAGCCCCCAGCCCATCCTCTTCCAAGCAGCGTTGTCTTTCACACCTGGAGTATTGACACTACTAAGTCTTTCACCTTAATTTATGACTCAGGATTCATTCTTGTCCTGCCCACTCTAGGCTCAGAGATGTCAAATCAAATTCTAGACACGCCAGCTGCTGCTGGGCTGCGGCCTGGATGGGGGCCCTGTTGGGGCCTCTGCTGCCTCTTGCACTGAGCCCTTGCATGGTCAGCGGGGTGCTGAGCTGGGTCATCATCCATTGCTGCGGCAAGCTCCAGGTCATTGTCCCCACCTTCGTGCGTGCGCCATGGACTGCAGGCAGACAGGAGCTCAGAGATGCAGCATGAGGCTCTTTTCAAAACAACTGGCCACTCGCTGCCTCAGATTCCCTATTGCTTTGGCGTACTGGGCTATGTGTTACCTCCTTGAAATAATAAATAACATTTTCTATGATGTCTTGTCTGTTTTGTTTTTGCTGCGGTAGTGGGAGTTGAACCCAGTGTCTTGTCCACTCTATGATATCTCTCATGTGATCTCTACCAAGAAAATCCTTCAGGAGGGCAATCTGGGAGTTACCAAAGGCTGCCCATGAGGTTGCCAGTCTCTTGTGTGCGAGATTCCAGCCGTCGCGGGCAGGTCAGGGCCGGATGTGAGTCCCCCTCACGCCGTTCCTCCATCCAGGACTCGGTGGCCCCCAGCAGCGCTGCTTCGCAGACTCCCTGGCACAGCTCGCTGACTGCTCCCTATGCCTCATTTCCTCCCAGGTCTGTGCCTGACAGCACTGCGCTCCTCAGTCCCAGTGCAGATGTTGCGCCCTGATGGGCAGGGTGACACAGGGACAGGCTGGAATCTGTGGCCACCAGGATTTCCCAGATCTTTTACTCTGTCCCCAGGAAGTTTGGTGCTCACTCAGTGGCTCCCTTGGGAGACAGAGGGTGTCCTCAGAGGACATGCGCATCCATATGACCCAACCTCATCCTCCATCCCAGAACGTAATCCCTGCCCCTGTGTTCTCCTCTGCTAATGAAGGCTGGGCTGCAACACAGCATCCTGTGGTGTGTCTTCCGCCTCACAGTGACAAAGGTGAAATGCTGTCAGCACAGTGCCTCGGGGACCTCGGGGGCTGCAGTAATAACTCATGTGGTTAAGCAGAAGGCACTGTGAGGGCTGAGCCGGCTTTACCACAGGGCTGGACCCAGGAGACAAAGTTGGGTGAGTCCTGGCACTGTTCTCTTGGTGCTGGTGCTGGCATTTCTGCAGGGCCACCTGTCAGGAAGGCTTCTCCACTCGGCCCTCAGGCAAGGCCCAGAGATCAGTTCTCGGGGTTCTCACGCAGAGCCTTCAGAAGGCGCTAGCATAGCATTCCAGACAGGTCATTCCCAGTGAGTCTTTTCCCCAGTCAGTACCACAAAACTGCACACAGAGCTCTGTCTGTGCCCCCCATTCCCCTTCCCACTTCCAGTGCCTTAGAAGTTGGGGTCCTGCTGGACCTTCCCGAACAGGCCAGCATGAACTCCCCTGAGACAATGGTGCTGGTGAACAGTCCAACACCATCTTGGAGGTAGAAGCCGTAGTCTTGGGATAGCTCCACAAGAGGACACAACAAAACAAAACAGATGGATGGCCATGCCTGCTCGTTGCTACTCCTGTGGGAAGACCCTTCCCAGGCCTGCCTCTTGCCCTGCAGCTTGGTGTTGGGCCCGAGGGCCCCCTCTGGCAGTGGAGACTGCACCCTGGAAGACGGCCTGCCTCGGCCATTTCCAGAGCCACTGGTGCAAGGTTGCGTTCATACCTGCGTGTGTGGTGCTAACACGGGCCCAGGACAACGAGGTGGCCACGTGAAGCTCCCACAGCTGCTTTTAGAGAGACAAGCACAGTGCGCTGCACTGGAAAAACACCAACACTAGGGCATGATGGCAGTACCCTCCTATAATCCTGACCCCTTGAGAAGCTGAGGCAGGAAGATCACAAGTTCAAGTCCTACCTGGGTGATTTAGCAAGATCCTATCTCAAAAAATAAAGAAAGGTGTAGCATAAGGGAAGAGTGTCCCCAGTGCTACAGAAAGAAAAAAGACCAGCCCAAAGCTAGGAACTCAACCCTCAGCAGGTTTCCTCGGGTGTGGCTTTCACTTCAATCCAGCAAGCATCTGCCAGCCACCCTGAAGGCTTTTGGGTCTGTGAGACTGCAGAGTCAGTTCTGGTCTTTTTTCCCCTTCACTTCTTTCCCCACCTTCTTGTTTTCTTCTTCTTCTCTTTTTCCTTTCCCTTCCTCCTCCTTGTTTTTTTGTTTGTTTTTTTTTTTTCCTTTGAGACAGGATATCGTCACATAGTCCAGACTGGCCTTGAAGTCCAGATCTACTGTGGCCTCTCAAGTGCTGGAGGTGTATGTGTGTACCACCCCCACCTGCTCTATTCATGTCTTTTTTTTTTTTGCGGAACTGTGGATTGAACTCAGGCCCTTGCGCTTACCAGGGAAGCACTTATTCTACTGAGCCATCTCCCCAGACCCTCTATTCTTTTTTTCTTTTCTTTTTTTCTTTTCTTTTTTTTTTTTTTGGCAGAACCGGGGATTGAACTCAGGACCTTGCACATGCCAGGCAAGCACTTATTCTACTGAGGCATCTCCCCAGCCCAGCCCCTCTATTCTTGTCTTTGATCCCGCTGAAGCACACAGCAGCAAGGTCTTCCTGCGGCAGGATTCATGCCCAGACTTGCCGTAAAGAAAGCCATGTCGTGCGCTGGCCGGAGCCTGGGGAGCAATCAGAAACAGGAAGAGGATCCTAAAGGAGTAAGGAGCTGACTCTGAAACTGAGCCTGACTCAGCCAAAGCTTCCTGGAGCCGAGGCAAAGCAGCACCAGAGGAGACCACCGAGGAGCGCTCACTCACGTAAGGAAACGTGCCAGCGCCACCAGGGCCACCCTGGTCCTGTGAGCAAGTTGCAGACTTTCACAGGTGTGCTATGAGGATTCCTCTGTGGGATACAGACCAGTCCAGTTCTTCCGGAACAGAACTCGTTTGTAAGTTGGAGACTGCTGTACCTGTCCTGGCAGGAGTTGCCTAGCTGGGAACGAAAAATGGAGCTCTATAGGCCTGGGATGCATCTCGAGGCAGAACGCTGGCCTGGCACGTGCAAGGCCCTGGGTTCATCCCCAGCACCATAAAGAAAAGCTGAGGAGGGGAGGCTGTCACGGTACATGCCGCATTTATGGCTAGAGGTAGAAGCCACTGGCTTCACGTGCCACATGTACAGATAGATAATAATGCTGCCTGCCAGGCCTGGTGGGGACACGTGTAATCCCAATGTTTGGAAGGCTGAGGTAGGAGGATCACGGAGAGTTCATGGCCACCCTAGGCTACATAGTGAGACCTTCTCAAAAAAAAAGAAAAAAAAAAAGCAACACCCCCCCCCGAAAATTAACTTGCCTGTCATTCCCACTGTATTTACATCAACCTCACAGCCTGCTGGGAGTGGGTCACTCCAGTGGCTCAGCCTCCAGACTCCTGAAAGGTGAAAGGCCTCATGGGACATGGGTGTGCTTATGCTAGCAGGTGCTACAGGACCACGTGAAGACCCTGCCAAGCCCACGCCTCCCAAGGGCATTGTGCCTTCCGCTCCCTCTAAAGGTGACAGCGGGAGGTATTAGTGGGACCTAGGTCTAACTGGGGATGGGGGGGGGGGGAGTCCTGCTCAGTGCTGCCACCATGTGGGACACAGATTTTTGGATGGGGCTGGTACTTTCCGATATTACAGTAGTCCACCATCTACACCTGGCAGCAGCGTACTGCAGTGAAGAGTCAGTGGACACTACATTTCTGGCTTTTGGGTCATGTGCACAAAAGCCCAGAGATGTGGCTGTGCCCTGAGGGTGGTCTGTACCCATGGATGCTGACTTCTTGTCTGTATTCACTCAGGGTCCTGCTGTGTCTTTCTTTCCATGCAATGTCAGAATCAAATGACATTCATCCAGGGTCAAACTTTCCAGTCCCCCCCACGCACTGTGCAGCGACAGTCACTGCCTTGCATGAGGATGGAGGAGAGTGTGATTGAAGACACTGTTTTGGATGGCAGAAAGCCAGGCCCCCCTAGCTTAAAGCAAGAAGGAAATGGGCCGACTCCAGATGGGAAGTGTGCAGGGGTGAGGCTGGCTGCAGCAGGGGCCTCGCCAGGCCTCCGCCCACCTTGGGCTCTCTTCGCGGGAGAAGAGGGCAGCAGCACCACACCAGCCCGCACAGCCCCTGGCATCAGCTCAGCACACCCCGCTGGCCCAGCCTCCCTTGCAGGCCATGGGGATCACTGTGTGTTGAGCCTCGCCTGGGCAGCTAGTGACTTAGCAGTCTCCAAAGATAAAGAAACTGGGAATGTAGCTCAGTGTGAGGGGTCTGCATTCCATCTCCAGGACCAAAATAAACTAACCAGGACCTAACCTAGTCTAAAGAAATGGAAGTCATCCACAGGTGGTGACAGGGAAAAGCAGTTCTCCTCCAAGTGGAATGTGCGATCCCATTGCCTCCTGGAAGGAAGCAGCCAAGTGCACAGACTCCTGGGACACTCGCTTCGGGGCCACCTGCCTCTGGGCACTCAGCTGTGGAGCCAGGCTGAGGTGGTTTCCTATGGTTGTGTTTCAGCTTCATAGCAGTACCACTGGAAAGCGGGTGCGGTGGGAACTATGCTCTGCGTTCCCAGACTAAGGCGTAGTAAATTGCTGATGATAGTTTCAGTTCAGGCTGGGTATGGGGGTAAGACCCTGCTGCAAAGGGAGGCACCTTGCACTTGGAACGGGAAGCACCCTAGTACACACAGAACCGCCCCAGCTTAGCCCAAGGCCACAAAGGTACTTCACTGCTGCCTGAAAAATCCTGACCACACGCCCGAACAGCAGCCCCAGTCTTGCCTGCTCTTCCTTGCCTCATTTGACCTTGATTCAGCTGGGCCAGGTGACAACCTGTGGTTTACAGCTAGAGGAGCAGGTCAGACAGCAAAGTGAATCACCCAAGTCTCCGTGCTATCAAAGGTCAGAGTCTGCACTGCTGCCTGCCCGCCGCCGCAGACCTCCAAAGGAGGGGCCCAGGGATGGGCACAGGGGCAAGCTTCCCTCCAGGCCTGGCTGGCTGAGGCCCTGGACACCTGCCTAGACAGGGGTGGCAATGGCTCAGAGGGTGGGTAGCCCACCCAGGATTCGAGTGGGTGCCCAGCTCTGCCCAGCTCTGCCCAGCTGGAGGTAGAAATGAATGGGTGCTGGGGCTGACCCCGAGCAGAGCAGGGTGCTGGATGACTCACAGGCGGAGGCTGAGGCTGTCTTCCCGGGAGCTGAGCATGGTCTTCTCGAAGCGGCCTCGCCCGTCTCACCGGCTCCTGGACATCTTCCTCACGCCTGCTTGGCCCCGCTTTTCACCAGCTGGTGTGGAAGGCCGAGAGCTTCT